TCTCTCAGGCTTACACTGTGTATCTGTCAGCATTACTGAGGGACACTGTGAGTCTGAGCTCTGTCAGTGTTACTGAGGGACACTGTGAGTCTGGGATCTGTCAGCGTTACTGAGGGACACTGTGAGTCTGGGCTGTGTCAGTGTTACTGAGGGACACTGTGAGTCTGGGCTGTGTTGGTGTTACTGAGGGACACTGTGAGTCTGGGCTGTGTCAGTGTTACTGAGGGACACTGTGAGTCTGGGCTGTGTCAGTGTTACTGAGGGACACTGTGAGTTGGGTTTCTCTGTTTTCCTGAGTTTACCCAGTATCTGAGCGCTTCTCGCTCTGCGGAGGAAACTCCACAGATTTACCACTTGTTGAGTGACAGCTGCTCTCCTCATGTCCTTGTTAATGGTCAAACCTTTGTCCCTGAGAATTTGACCTTTGGACTGTCCTTCCAATGGACCAGCCTCTTGGCATCTATCCTGTGAAGCTCCAAAGGATATTCCGTGCCTTAGGTGGTGGTTCACAAGGAGACTTGCTCGGATTGTGCTTTTCCACATTTCTCAGTACATTCCCAGACTGACCAGCTCTCAGTTACAAATCCTCACAGTGGCTGTTCGACTTGTAGATTTGACAGAACAAGTCCAAATCAAGCCAGGCCGACTGGAGAATCTCTCCACCTTTAAATGTCACAAGGGACTCGGTTGGCCTGGCGTGGACTACAAAGAAGCTCTTTAACTCCTTCCTTGTGCAGACTGGAGTTCAGGGTTCGAAGGAGACCCACAACCTTTCAGTGAGTGGGGACCGTCGCGCCAGTACCATCACAAGCCTGTGTCCAGCCCCTAAGTACACAGTCTATGTCTACGGCCTCTCTCTAGGTCAAGTCACAAAGCCACGGAGCCTGGTCGCGGCCACGAAAGGTATTGTACCCACCCCCTGGAACTCACTCGTTTTGATCACAGGAACTGCATGCTTCCCTTTCTCCATCATCGTAATCTGTCTGGTCTGTCAATAACACGGAAGCCAGGCTGCTCCTGGGTCTAACACAGAATCCTCCAGTACAGAATTAGGCCATTCAGCCCACTGATCTGTGCTATACTGGCATTAACAATCTCCAAGAGGCTCCTGCGACCCTTTTTTACCACCCTCTGTGGCTGTCTGTCTCGTGTATATCCAGTGTTACAGTCTATACATCTGCACATATCCGTCTCTATTGCTGCATATCGGAGCGTGGTCTGTGTTCTCACCATTCCTGAAGATTTCTCCTGAATCCTTTGCCCTGCCTTCTTCCGATCTGGCGACCTCCCAATCCGAAACACCAATGACAGGAAGATTGCAGTCAGAACTCGGAAACTCTTACGATCTTCGGGAGATGCCACTGCTGATTGGACATCTTCCTGGACATTTTAACACAGCCTCTGCCGTCACACTTTATTAAAATTCTTTGGCCGGCTGTGGCAAGGCCAGTATTTGTTGCCCACCCCTAACTACCCTTGAAATGATTCTTGAGCCATGAGGAGTCTTGTGAAGCTCATCCAAGGTTTAAATCCCTGTCTATCTCCAGTGGATCCCACCTTGCAGTGACCTACAAATCCCAAAAGAATCTTTCCACCGAAAGAGTGGAACCATCCAGGAATCAAACAGGGATGACACAGTTACTAAGAAATCAGAGTCGAAAACCTGGCCTGAGTTTTTGTGTTTGTGGATTGCCAGGGTTCAGAAGACTAGGGGGATTTCTTTAAGATTGCGACAAAGAATTATTACTGTCTGTGTACTGGCTGTGTGTGGTCACTGAGCCGGAGGTATGTGGTGAATAGATGCTGTCCATCAGCTGAGATTGTTACCTGGATGGACATTGAGACCCCGCAGCAGTTTGTTGTGGTTCCTGGTTCGAGGTTGGATTGTACAGGGTCAGCAGGGGATATTGCTGAGCCCTGCCCACCCACTGTGGGGAAACATCAGGTCCCAAGTTTAAACAACTGTGGACAGCCCGTAGAAACGGGGAGTGGGACATCCACCATCACTGAATGGGGAGAAAATCCTACCCCGAGTTCTGTCTGCCATTTGGATTGGCCAGCAGTGCGCAGCAGAACCCAGTAGTGCCCAGGAGGACCCAGATCTCAGCAGTGCCCAGTCGTGCCAAGCAGTGCCAAGCAGGACCCAGTAGAGCCCAGCAGGATCCAGCTGTGCCCAGATCTCAGCAGTGGCCAATTCTAGAACTGCGGGTAGTCCCGGGAGTGAGTCAGCAATGGATCTCAGACTTGGGAAAAATCTGGGATGTTTAGACATGGAGCGATTGGGCATTCCAGGGAGGGGGAAAAGGGGTGGCAGCAGGATCAGAGGGGCTGTTGTTGGAAACCGGCTGAGAACCACGAAGGAGGTGTTTGGAGATGGGTGGAAGCAATGGGGTGGGCGTGCGGGAAAGGCAGAGCTGAGGGAGAAATGGGCTAGGGGCAGGATGTCACTTGGTGGGTGGGTGCCCCTCATTTCACAGGCTGCAATTACAATGATCCCCTTCACTGGCACTGCAATCCCATTACTGACCATCATTCCCAATCCAGCTCTCCTTTCCAGATTGCTGGAGGATTTAGCACTCTTTTTGCTGATATTTTGTACGTACTTTAACAAACACGTGGAGCCAGATTGGTGACTATGAACATCCTTGTTGGACAACACTGATCTCCAGTGAGTGCACCGTGTTCAGAACATGGCTTTGGGGGAAGGAGAGTGAGGGGAGAGATAAAACTGTGCGTAAAAGGAGCTAGTTAAATCCTACGCTGTTCAGTCACTCCGCATGTCCCACATTCTCACCCCTCCCTGGATAAAGAGGTTTCTCCTAAATTCCCTTATGGATTTTGGACCCGACCAGAAACGTCAACTTTCCTGTTCCTCTGATGCTGCCTGGCTTGCTGTGTTCCTTCAGCTTCACAGTACGTTGTGTTTAGTTGAAATGTTTTTAGTTAAAGTTAGATTACTTGTTTGAAACAAACCACCTCCCTCATTACTGTAGCCATTGTCTTCTCCAGTCCTCTGGTACGACCTCAGATGAGGCACTCACTCAACTCAATTGTGTCATCTTTCTATTCAAATCACTCTGTGGCCTATCTTGGTAATACCCTTTAAATGCTCTCTCCCCTCCTCGACATCCACAGTTCTTTAATTCTGGTCTCAAGCATATTCCTGATTTTAATCGCACCCCTATTGGAGGTTGTCTTCAGCTGCCGATTTCCCTCTGTCAACTTCTTTGCCCTGCTCCATCTCTCCGCTTCGCAGGCCCTCCTTGCGATACTCCATCTCTCCGTTTCGCAGCCTCTCCTTGCGATACTCCATCTCTCCGCTTCGCAGGTTCTCCTTGCGATACTCCATCTCTCCGCTTCGCAGGCTGTCCTTGTAACCTGTCGTTTTTAAGTTTTTGCTCCATCCTGCCTGTTCTGTTGTCTCCGCGTGGCTCAGCATCACATGAAGTAACCAGCGATGTTGCACTCTATTCACAGTGCGAGATAAATACATGTCACTGTAATAATGAGTTAGGAACATTCATTGTGTAAAATACCGCTGTACAGTTTCCGATTTCCATCAGTCCTTTAGACTTGCTGGATGCAAACCCAAAATCGATGAGAATCCAAGGCACAGAGTAAAGGAGATGAGATCTGGCAGAAAGGGTTCAAGAATCAGCTCAGTATTTGCATAGGGGCTGGGTAGACTTGAGTGAGCTTACAGAGAAACACATTGGCTTGATGACATATTACTCAAGTTTTGGTTCCTCCTCAGAAAGAATTCTTCGATCTCTGTCAACATTGTCCATTGAGACCCAGATTTGAGATCTTTCTGGTGGAAGAGAGTAACAGAACTGCTTTCTGAATCACCCCTCACTGTAAACCTCACTGTAATTTTGAGCTTGTGAAAGCTCGTTTTAATCTGCATAACCCGCACCCCTCCCCCCCTCCTCCACTCCTCCCCACAACCTCCCCAAATCCAGCAGAGGAAATACCTTCTCCCCATCCGCTCTGCCAAATGCATTAAACATCAGTCAGCTCACCCTCAATCTTCCCTCATGCAAAGAAATACGAGATCAGTCTGTACAATGTACACTCATAGATAGTAGGAACTGCCGATGCTGGAGTCCGAGATAACACAGTGTGGAGCTGGGTGAACACAGCAGGCCAGGCAGCATCAGAAGAGCAGGAAAGCTGACGTTTCAGGTCAAGACCCTTCTTCTGAAATGGGGGAGGGGGAAGGGAGCACCCAAATAAATAGAGCGAGGAGGGGTAGGGCTGGGGAAGGTAGGTGGGATGGTGATAGGTGAGTGCAGGTAGGCAGTGGTGGGGATTGGTCAGTGAGGTGGGAGGAGCGGATAGGTAGGAGAGAAGATGAACAGGTTGTGTCAGGTCAAGGAGCCGGGGATGAGAGGAAGGGTTGGACATGTGATGAGGCAGGGGGTGGGGAGAATTTCAAACCGGTAAAGTCCACATTGTGGCCATTGGGTTGTAGGCTCCCAAGGTGGAATATGAGGTGCTGCTCCTCCAGTTTCCAAGTGGCGTCGTTGTGACACTGGAGGAGGCCAAGGATGGACATGTCACCCAGGGAGTGGGAGGGGGAGGTGAAATGGTTTGCGACTGGAAGGTGTTGACATTTGTCACGTACAGAGCACAGATGCTTTACTAAATGGTCTTCGAGTCTAAGCTTGGTCTCACTGATGTAGAGGAGGCTCATAATTCCTTTTGGCCAACCGTGAGGTTTGACAGCGCATGGGTCTGTTGATGCTGCAGTTTAATGTCAGGTGAATCATTGCTAAAACACTCCGCTGAGCCAGAAAAGCCTCTGGATTGTGTCAGCTCCAGCCTGCTGCTGGTCAATCAGCCCGGACCAGTCTGCGTCAGGAATGATCATATTCATGTTCGGGTGGGGGGTGGTGGAAACTTGTGTGAATCAGAATCATTTCAAATGTTATCGCCTTGCACTGCTTTTGAAGAGAATCATATTCTGTCTTTTTGTTTTGTTTTCCCCTGATGTTCAGCCTCTGGGAGAAAGCCGAGTGACAAGATGAAGCCAGGTCAGTTATCGGCTGTGAATGTCACATCAGACTCTGTACAGCTGTCCTGGCCTCCTCAGAAAGGCGTTGACTTTTATATCCTCCAGTACAGAGTGCAGTCTTCTGCAGCGGTGCAGAACGTCACGCTAACTGGTGGCCGTCGTTCCTTCATCATCACAGGCCTCACTCCTGCCACTAAATACCTCTTCTCCCTGTATAGTGTCTCCGGAGGCCGGTACAAAAAGCCGCTGCTCCTTCCATTAACCACAAAAGGTAGTGTTTGCCTCACTCTTTCGTTTCTGCATCCAGCAGGCAATTTATCTTCGCTCGTCCTGTCTCCCCCTCTCGTTTTTATTTTTACTTTGTTTCTATCCAGAGTCGTTTGGCTTTGAAAAATGGCTTTCCCTTCACCAGTTGCTTTGCTTGTGACAGCCGCATGCTCCTGTCGACAAATCACACCCATGATGCTTTTTCTCCGCCGTCTTTTGAGGTCCATACTCTCTGTCCTTGAACCGGTCTTTTAAGGAGCTGTTGAAGCTGAGATAAAGATGTTGGCCTACTGCGCAGATTATCATTCTCCTGAAGTGCAAACCCCACTCCTGTAGCCTCAGGAAGAGGACCTGGCCTGGCTGTTGCTGGGAACACAATCTTAACAGCATGGATGCTCCTTCTGTGTCAATATGTGGGTCTTTTGTGTATCAGCTGTGTTTGTGTGGCGGAAATTTTATCGCTCTTTGTTCTGTGCCTGAATCAAACGTTGGATTATTTCTGTGGTAGTCCATCACCTTCCATGTATATAGCTGCCTGACTCAATAAGACATTCCCTGCTTTCACCCACTAGGATCCCAAATGATTCTGGGTGATCATTTTGCCCGGACGTGATTGTTTCTGAGTGTGACCAGGGGCTGAGTTGGTGCCTGTGTGGATCTCACTCTGCATTGTGGTGTGCAGCTGCTGCATATATACATGTGTGTCCTGTCCCCTGTTGTCTGTCTCTCTGAGGGGCGTGTATGTTGATCTACACTTTGCTGCGAGGGAGGGTGGTGGTGGATGGGGTCAGGGTGATTGTGAGTGATCACGGAGTTTATTGGTTTTACGGTAATGATGCAGAGTCAGCGCTTTTGAAGGAAACATCTGACGTGTCATTTTGGAAGAATTCCATGTGTGCAATTCAAGGATTTCCACGGGAATACTGGACTTTACATTCCAGGCTTGGATATTGCTCTAAAGTTTGACACTAGGATCAATAGAACCAAGCTCAATTACAATCTCACATTTTGACAGCTGAATTGTGGACTGTAGGATTCATTGCGCTAGTTAAAGGGATTTGCGTTGCCCGTACTCTGTCTGCCCCTCCTCCGTTGGATCAAAATCCAGCGGCTTCATCGGCTGAATTATTTTGTCGAACAGCCTCTGTTACTAACCTTCCCTCTGGTGAAAATGTCCCGTCTCTTTCTACTTTCTAGCTTCTCCAGGGAGGGACAGACCCAAAAAGCAGAAAGAGATTAAACTGGGCACTCTGTCGGTTTCTGAAGTCACGGCCAACTCTGCTGCGTTCTCCTGGACTGCGAAGAAGGGATTCGATGCCTTTCTAATACAGTACAGAGTGCACGGCTCCGGGGCTGTGAGGAACTTCACCGTCACCAGTGGCAACCGCTCAGCAACTATCACAGGCCTGAGGCCTAGCACCAAGTACACTCTCTATGTCCATGGGGTTTCCAATGGAAAACATACAAAGCCACTGAGCAGAGTTATTACCACAAAAGGTATAGATTTGCCTTTATGTCCCAGCATTCTCACCCTCCAACTGTTCTGAACCCTATTGAACTAGAAAAAGACACGATAAGCTCTGTGCATTATGAAAACAGATATTAATGTATAATGTATAAAATAGGCCAGGCTGTACATGTCATCAGTAGGTTGGAACACAAATGCAGTGTCAGGTAGTTTTCGGGAATTCTCGTGGGTTGAATTTTCCCTGACGACAGTAAAAAGCCAAGTATTTGGGGAAACCTTTTCAGCTTGTGACATAGTGGTGGACTGTTCCAGACTCGGTCTCCTGGCTCTGTGCCCTGAATGGCCACAAACTCAGCTCAGTGGGTCTGACAGACTTGAGATGGATGGGTGGGCTAAACCAAAATGTCTCGCCTTTCATCGAGAGAGAGGCTCGGAAGATGAGGGACGAAAGGGGAGCTCAGAGGTTAGGAGTGGAGTAATGTCACTATGTGTGCTTGGTGCTGCTAGTAGTGAATTTGACCTTCGTTTTCAGCTCCCCAGGAGATTAACTCCTCTGTCATCAGCTTGGGCAAGCGCCCAGCCTGAGTGGATGGAGGGATAATGGCACTGATGCCCCAGCAATGGGCAACACGAAACTTAGGATCTCATCTGCTCGGAAATATTTGCCACCTACTGTTTCCGGCAATTCCTTTTCTTGTTCAATTTGTTCAATTTTCTTTTTCCTCTCTGCTTTAGCTTCCAAAGATAAAGAGGCTGTAAAACTGGGTAATGTGTCCAGCTCTAACATCACGGCTAACTCCCTCCGACTCTCCTGGACCGTGGACAAGGCCCGCTTTGACTCCTTTTTAATCCAGTACAGAGTCCAGGGTTCTGAGGAGACCCAGAACATCACAGTCACGGGTGGACAACGCTCCCACCTCATCGTAGGCCTCAAGCCTACTACCAGATACACCGTCTATCTCTACGGGATTTCTGATGGCGTAAGGACAGAGCCCTTAACCACTACTGTGACCACCACAGGTATCTTAACACAGATCTATCCCTTTCAATGTGAACACATTTAACCCCAACAATCTTTCCTATGATTTTACAGCTACATGGATGGTCCTTCATGTTTGCAGTAGGCATTTGCACAATTGTAGATGGTGGAGAGAAAGCTATGAATGAGAATAACTATATACATATACAAACTGGACAGCATTATAATCACCTACAGGGGTTTACAGGAGCAGGATACCAGTTAGCAATAGACACCGTACCCCCACAACCCACCCCCCACCCAATCAGGACTCCAACGGGTCAGAGGGCCAAAGATTTGATCGAAGAGCGCAGGATAAGGAGGCTCTTCTAGGAAGATAGAGAGAGAAGGGAGAGGTTGGAGATGTTTAGGGAGACAATTCAACAACCTGAGCCTACAGAATGGTAAGAATGACTGCTAATGGCTCTCTAATTCAAGTCAGGGACACTCAAAAGGCTAGAATTAGACGAGTGAGCCTTAGGATGGGCAGTTATCCTGTTGCCGTTTGTGGGAGCTTGCTGTGCACACATCAGCAGCCATGTTTCTTACAATATAACAGAAGCCCATCATGAGCAATGCTGAGCACTTTGGGTCATCGTGAGGCTGCAGAAGGTGCTATGGAAATGTAAGTCTTGTGTTCCAGTTTTACTCCTCACCCATGACTCCAATGAGCAAGTGGCCATCAAGTCGGATTCATAGCCAGGAGGTGAAAATAACTCCCATTGGGTGCCCCTTTCACCCCGATGTGGAGCGATCACTACATTGGGGATGTGTCTCTGTAAGACGGATGTTGACAGCTGCCAGTCATTGTAGAGTGCAAGGTTCCTCAATCTAGTTGCAGGCAATTTGGAGCATGAGCTCAGACTGAGCTTCTGACAGAATCTCGTTGTTGTTCTTTCTGAGCTTTTCAGTCCTGTCTCTCAGTTTGCTGTGATCGGACACCAATAACTTGGCTTTATTTTTATCCCCTTTGTCTCTTTTAGCTGCTGCAGAGGGAGAAACTACATCACCAGCTCAACTGGGCAATGTGTCCAGCTCTAACATCACGGCTAACTCTCTCCGACTTTCCTGGACCGTGGACAGGGCCCACTTTGACTCCTTTTTAATCCAGTACAGAGTCCAGGGCTCTGAGGAGACCCAGAACATCAGAGTCACAGGCGGACAACGATCCCACCTCATCGTAGGCCTCAAGCCTACTACCAGATACACCATCTATCTCTATGGGGTCTTCAATGGCAAGCGTAGCAAACCCTTGACTGCTGCTGTGACCACCACAGGTACTTCTACCTCCCTCTCTCTGTCTGGCACCCTCTCTCTGTCTGGCACAGATTGGTCTCCTTTCCAGAATAGCTGTTGCCAACACTGATTGGACAGATCTCACACCTAACCCTACCTGGGGCCCTCACCTCCTCCACCTCACACGCCATTGGCTGACACATCCATCATCATAGTGCCTCATCTCCCTTAGGCAATTGGAAAAGCCAAAAGATGACTCCTCAGCAGTGAGGGTGGTCTGTGCAAACAGGCCCTTTTCATTCGCTGGTAACTTAGAACAATGCAGCCCCTTGTTTAATGCACCTCAATCATTCCTGCCCCAGAGTTTGCTCCCCAGTAGTGTTTAAACCTCAATTCCTCGCACCGAACAGAAATCGCTGGAAAAGCTCAGCAGGGCCAGCAGCAAACTGTGCAGAGAGAGAGAAAGAGAGAAAAAAAAGTTAACATTTCGACTCTGAGCCACAGTAACTCGAGTTCCTCTGTCTCTGAAAACAAGAACCAAAAAGATTTGAAATTTAGAAATCTGAGCTGTTTTTGTTTCATGTTGTTCATCTCCCAAGCACATTCCAATAGAGGGATAAAACAAAAACAAAGGCAACATTGTCAAAAAGATAAATATATATTTCCCATCAAATTCTAACAGCCTAAGAGCTAATAAATACGTTATATACATATATGTATATAATATATTTAATGCTAGGCAGCACTAATCAATGGAAATACTCAGCTAAGAAATGGTATTTCTCAGGGTCACTAGAGGCTAAAGTGAGAGGGTGGAAAAGGATCAGTGATGCAATTGATGAGTGCATTAGTTGAAATCCCACCTTGGTGCCTGAGGGAGTTTAAATTCAAATCAAATGAAATCAACAGGTCTGGAAGTAATAACTAATCTCAGCGATGGTGGCCATGAAACTATCATTGATTGTTGTAAAAACCCATCTGGTTTTGCCTTTAGGGAAGGACATCTACCTGGTCCACGTGACTCCAGGCCCGCAGCGATGCGGTTGGCTGTCAGTTGCCCTCTGAAATGGCTGAGTTTCGCTGCTGAGATGGTGCGTCCCCATTGCCTTCTCAATGACAATGGGATTTGGACAATAAATTCTGCTGCTGACTTAGCGCAAACTGATAAAAAAAATTGCAACAAATCCCTGGCTTCAGTGAAACTAAGGTTAATGCAGATGGAAAGCTTGCTAAAACCAAAATGTAGTTTTTGCCAAAACAAGCTTCTCCTGCCAGTCCTCATTCTAATAAACTAGTCGCTAGTTAGTGCACCTTGAAACTATCTTGGTCAGGTACACATCACTGAACCTACAAATGTTTCTCCAACCTTCCACCAATCTGTAAAATAAAGGCAGTTCATAAAGAAAATGAACCAGATTGAAGCTGTGTGAGGAGTGTCTTGAACTTTTTATTTCTCTCTGATCAAATGGTTAATAATCAGGGTCATCAATGTAAATCCAAATGTTGGAATGCTGCCTGGAAACTGTGCTGGGATAATGTGTTCAACAAAACAGTAATCACTTTGATTTTGAGACAGTTTCACTGATGTGTTGAGACAGAGACTGGAGATATGTGACTTGATTTGCTAACAGAAGTAACTTACCAACTAACCTTTCAAAGTAGTTTGAACCTCCCTGTCTCTCCACACTTAGGCGGTTCATCGTACTCAATGTTTTTGAACCTGGTTCATTTTGAGTGTGATAATTCTTTAAACCCATTGCAGGAACTCAGAGACTGCTGTATGTGACCTCCACTTACACTCAATTTAATTTTATACCCCAGGGAGACAGCTAGCAAGTGTAACCTTTGCAGCAGTGTATAACCAGCCCAATGCTTGTGACATCATATGGGGGTGTATCTCATTCCAGTGTTCCTGCCTCTCCCTTTCCTCGCTGGGATTAGCGTTCCCACAATTTCTTGTTCAGAATCACTCGATCATTCCCGTCGGCTGTGAGCCAGGGCCTGATCAATAATCATTCTCTTCATTTTGAATGGTAGCCTCCACAGATAAAGAAGGTCAGAGCTCGGTCACGGACCTGGG